TTTTATATCAGTAACACAGTGGAAAAACCTCACAAAATTGGAGCGTATTCAGGCCAGGCTAGTTGTCATATAGTACTACTTTTATATCAGATAATACAGCCATTATCTCAATTTCACTTGTGGACTTATCAAATTGTGGTACCACAGAGACTCTGTTACTAGCATCTGGTCATCCCAATTTCAAGGAAGAAAGAGTGTTGGATCTCGAGAAATAAGCTGTGGTTATTTTATGAAATCTGGTGAACTTAAAGTGTAGATTCACATAAAGTGTTTATTCTTTCTATGCAACTCCTGAATCCAGTGCCATATGGACATGGTGGCCACTGGCTTCAACTATTAAAGTTATTGATGATAGTAGTTAAATAGGAGCTCTTTATATGGAGCAGTATGTCAGCCACTGCTTATTTCTTTTTGCTGTAGAGCAAAACAGAAACATTTATATTCCATTTACAGGCTTCCTGGTGGTCTCTGTCAGACCAATGAAGAAAACAGGAGTTGAAATTTAGGTAGTAAGATGGGAAGAATACGCCCAGGAACCAGAATTTGCTCTTTTCTTATTTGTTTGATTTTCTGCCAGAATTAGCATGCACATTGGCTTGTCTTTGTTTCTGCTCTTTTTAAATCTACTTGTAAAAATTACTGTTTTTCTTTCTATGTCCCCAATATCCTCACACTTCCTGTCTACTCAATACTTTGCTCTGTCCTCACTCTACCAACTCCAGGAAGAGCATTATATAGCAAAAAGGTTTCAGATCGGTGTTTACAGATTAGTCTACCATGTCAAGTCCATTTAACTCTGCATTTTGTTTCCTACAGAAATTCCTAGCAATCAAACACATACCTCCATAAAGTGCAAAAGCTTGGGCTTGAAGAGGTCATCTTTCCATAGGGATTTCATTTCATTTTTTTTTCTAAAGAGATACATGTCTTCAGAACAAAGAGATTCCATTTTGCTGTGGAGTTAATAGTCTCTTCTTTGAAGTACCCAACTCAGTGGGAAAGAAGATCCCGTGCCCCTTTATGTGAAAATTCTATCTATCGGGCTCTTTTATATTAATCATAGAAATTGGATCACCTATGTTTGTGACCAGGCACTGTGTAATCCAGAACAACTCTCAGCACCACTTCTGTAGGTTTAGTGACCTATTTGATGTCAGGGTTCCACGTAATGTATCCATTGCAAGCAAAAACTCCAAGGCAGGTGAATTCCTGAAATAATAGCTTTATTGGAAATATCAAACTGGCACATATCCGGTGAAAACCAACTCTGAGAGGCCCCTTAATGTAAAGGTAAAGGTTCCTGTTGCAAATACATGCTGGTCATTTTCAGCTCTAGGGGACGGTGCTCAAAGCCAAACAGCCAGCACTGTCCGAAGACGTCTCCATGGACATGTGGCCGGCATGACTAAATGCCAAAGGTGCACGGAACACTGTTACCTTCCTACCGAAGTGGTCCCTATTTTTCTACTTGCATTTTTTACATGCTTTCGAACTGCTAGGTTGGCAGAAGCTGGGACAAGTAATGGGAGCTCAATCTGTTACGCAGTGCTAGGGATTCGAATCGCTGAACTGCTGACCTTTCTGATCGACAAGCTCAGCATCTTAGCCACTGAGCCACCACATCCCTATAAAGACTCCTTGGTTTTCATCTAATTAAAAGTAAAAGTTATCCAAGATATTGGACATGTTATTAATTTGGATAATTGGCAAATCCTATGGGAAAGAAATAAAAAAATAACATTAGCCACATCGTACACAGAAAATTTATGGAAAATGTTTAATAGATGGCATATCCCCCCAACAAAATTAGCTAAAATGTACCCAAATTTATATCCTATCTGCTGGAAATGCTCCCAGGAAAATGGATCATACTATCATGTATGGGGGCTTGTAGGAAAGCACAGGATTTCTGGCATAAAATTCAGAGCTGATTAGAGGAAATGGGTGGAATCAAACTTGAATAGAAACCAGAATTTTTCTTACTTGGAATTCATATAGAGAAATATAATAAAGATATGATGTACCTAATAATACATGTGATTACGGTTGCAAGACTAGTTTATGCTCAAAAGTGGAAACTTAAGGAAATTCCAGATGAAATAGAGATAATTAAAAAGACATGGACATGTGCAGAAATGGACAGATTAACCTTGGAACTGAAAAATAAAGATGAATCTGAATATTACAAAGTATGGGAAAAGTTTTACCACTGGTTGGGAAAAAGGATGTAAAATTTAAATTAAAATAAGATAAAGATGTAAAGATGATCGACTAGGAATATATAAGAATTGTTGACATTGATGTATATAAGATGTAAATATGTATTACTATCTGAAATAGATATTAAGACACCACATTCAATGTTTTTAAATGTTTTATCTTTTTGTTCAATAAAATTTTGTAAAAAAAAAAAAAAAGTAAGTTTTCCCCTCAAACCCAAACAATCAGTCACATGGCCCAAATCATAGCAGCATCCACAGGTCTGGTGACATCGCTCCTCCTTCTTCCAGCCAGGTGTGAGAATGTCCTTGGTTCCCAGGGAAAAGTATTTTATTTTGACTACACAACCCCAGCTATCTCTAATTCCCCCCTCCCTATCCCTCGCTCCAGTGTGGCAACACTGAAGCTCCAAGATGGCTTTGGCCAGGTCAGCTTCAGGGTTGGCACTTGGATGACCAATCTCTGTACTATATGAGATTAGTTTAAATGAGGGGAGAGAGGAAGTAGGCGCATTGTTTCCCTCCCCCCACCCTCCCCCCCCCAAAAAAATCCCTGTAAAGTCTGTAAAGAAGCAGCCAATAACATTGGAAATACAGTACCTTGGTTTCCTTCACTGGGGAGAAAATGTTCATGGCTTCCCCTTCTCTTGCATAAGAATAATAGTGGAGAGCTGAAGTTAGGAAGCAGATACTGGGAAACAGGGAAGTATCCTTGTTCTTTTTCTCCCTTAGCAATCCTCTTCTGAACCACGAGAGAGGGAGAATGCTTCCAACTTTCACATGTGTAAAATACAGTAATTGGATTTCCACAGTGGGAAACTAATGATACGTAAACTGATGGGGTCTGGTGAGAGGAAAGAGAGGTAATGGTGAGGCATGAAGTTCTGACTTGGAAACTAAGGCATCCCTTGGGGGTCAAATATATTGTCTGTCTCTGATCCAGACATTAGAATAGAAATCCTCCTGCACTTGGAGACTTGGAAATTCTGTACTTGGAGACTTGGAAATTCTCCTGAAGACTTGGAAATTCTTGTTTCTTTATTTCTCATTCTTTTAAAAGTAAGTTTCTCTTTTTCTAGGTAGGCATTCAAGATGAATTGACATAGTTTTGAAGTTTGCCACAACAGGTAGAAAAGAAGTGAGGTTCCATTCTGCGTTTTAGCTGTTATGTTGAAGTATATCTTGCCTTCTATGACTGCATATGAATACTTCATGCCGGAATATACAGATATATAGTACATACATTCTTGTTATGTCTCACCTTTACAAAGGAGGTGAGAAGTCCAAATTCCAACTGAATACAAACAAGCAAGCAAATCCAGTAATTATAGAGTTAATTCCTTGAGCCGATAAAGTTCTTGGCAGTCTCACACACGCTGTCTGCCAAGTCCGACAAGAAAGCAGGAATATAAATCACACAAGCTATCACAACACAGAATAATCCGAAGCTCCTCTGAATAAGTCACACGTCCCATACGAAACTCTCAGAGCAAACACACCCACTTTTATTCCCTGTGGGGTGTGTCAGTCCCTCAGCTCAGTCTCTGATTCGTCCCTTCCTCCTGTGTTGCAGCTCACACTTTTGCCTGCGATGCTGCCTCGCATCAAGCCAGCATTCCTCTGCTTGATTCTCTGTCAGAGACTCTGATACGCTCTCCTCCTTTTCCTGATTAGCCTCAGGTTTTCCCTCTCGGTTATCTGCCGACACCTGAGGCACAATCAGGGAGGAAGGCATTGCCGAAGAGGAAGGTCCTGGGGAGGAAGGCATTTCCAAATCCTCCTCTTCCCCATTGTCCGAGTCTTCGTCCTCTAACAATGCAGGCTCAAACCTCAGAGCCACAACACATTCTCAGATTTATTTATTTTTTAATTTAAGGGAAACAAACTACTTCAATAAGAAAAATGGTATGAAAACTGCAATATGTCTGTGAGATGTAGTTCAGGCATCCTTGATGCTCACAAAAATGATCTGCAAACTACACTAACTGCACGTGTCAAAATATATATCTATTAACTGCTATGTGCCAGCTTGTGATCTATTTCTGATACTGAGGCTCCATACCAAACAGGCTGTTTGAATCCTAACCTAAAACCTGAACATACTTTCCTGCTTCATTACAGCTGCCAGACCTGTACTCACAAGAGCAGGGCGCTGAGATGCAACCCCAGGCTAGCAACGAAAACAACAGGGGGCAGCCTGACATGGGATCCCAGCAAGATGCAGTAGCACCCTCAGAGATCCCAGGGGTTCAGATCACGGAAGAAGGTGAGCCCTTCAATTTACTTTATTGTTAGGTTGCCTCTCCAGATCTAGTGCAATAAGGAAAACTGCCTTGCCGTTTCTTTTAGTCTCGTTATGCTCCAACATACTTGAATAATTGATTGATTGACTATACTTTCTCTACTGCCATGTTTCCCAGGGATGTAAGTTCCCTTTCTAAGTACATTATTCCTATGCTGTGCAACTCCATCAAATAAGTGGCATACAGCGTTGGAAACTAAATAAATAATTAAGACTTCTCACTGATCTGGAGTAGTTGGACAATGATTGTAATGCCTTAATAAATCTTGTCTTTTCTGACAGGCAGTGTTTCTACAAATTCTTTCTATACCACTAGCTATTAACCTTTTGTGCGTATTCAGTTTTTGACCTATACACCATTCAAATGGGATACTTATGAGAGGCGTCATCATGCCAATGTTATCAATGTTACCAATTCCTCTTATTTGCTTCGCTGGTATTGCACAATCTTAATTTGGGTTTGCAGCTTACAAAGAGATCGTTTGTTTTAAGTATATTTTTTAATAAGCCATAATTGGTTGGATTAATGCATCATGCTAACTCAAAAACCAGAGTACACTGCAATGGCTAAACCAGCATGAAAAATAATGATGAAATTTGTTGTGTGAATCTTCTTGATTGTGACTTTTTTTTTTTTTTTTACAATAAACCATGGTTGAGCAGACATGGCTCAATGTGATATTTGAATCCACCCTACCACAAAACTTAAACCAATCAAAGACTTTGAATAAAATATGAGCCCAGCCTTAGCCATTCTGTACATCTTTTTCCTGATTATGGTCAATTCCTTTGTATTTAAAAAGAACTACTCTTTGTGCTACAGGAAACAGTATGATAAAACCAAATTAAATAACTAGCATGGTCACTGAGCAATAAACATTCTTCTTTATTGTTTCTAGAAAATGGGTTGGGAAAGATGTTTGTGTTGGATTGCTTTGTCTATTTTAGATGTCTGCTCGGATCTAGCCACATTAAAGACATACTGTATTTCAGAGACCATCCAAAGAGAGGGAAGATAGCAAGACTGAAGACAAGGTAGAATAGCAGGATGGTTCTGTCAACAGCTGGAGGCTGCCAGCTGCTAGTATTGTAGTGATCAGCAAATCTCTTGTGATATGGTTTATTTTAAATTAACATATGGGAGAAGAGGACATGCTAGTATCCATGGTTCCATGTTGCCCTTCCTGCCCTTTAACAGCTAACCAATTCTTTTATATGACTTACAAATGGTTTTTTTGCATTCTTAAAAAAAAAGTCATATTTGTATGTCAAATGTTCTAGAAATCTGTCTGTTTTATGAGTACAAAGCAATGAAGAAAATCCGAACTTGGATGATTGTCATTTTGGGAAATAAAACTATCACATACCTAATCAGTGACAGGAAATCTGAAGTGCAAATCATGGAATGAAGAGAGCTACATGTATTAAATGCCTAATTTCCCAATTTTTCAAATGCAGTTCCTTTCCCCAAGGCCATTTTCTTTAGAATGATTTTTGAATGCGAGTATTTTGCAAGTATCAGATTCTAGACTCAATTCCTAACAACTTTAGGTTAGGCTGAGGAAAGCCCATGTCTGAAATACTGTAATAGATCTGTTGACTCCTACAATGGAATTGCCTTCCCCTGCATAATATTTGCTAAATATGTTAACTGAAATTCCCATAATCTTCAACAACTGTTTGGGAATTAAGGGATTGCAAACTAACAACTGGTGAGATCAGATGGGAGGCAGTGCTCAATTTGGTTTAACTCATCAAGAGGGTGCCAGAGTCACATTTGGCATAATTGCTCCCAAATAGGTAAAAATCAAGGCCAAGAACAAGGCTGAATTGGGCAAGAGAACACTTTATTTGATTTAATATAAATGAATATTTAATTCAAATGAATGGAACACAGTTAACATTACTATGAAAGGAAGAAAAGATGGAATAGGTAGATAATGTCATTTGGCCAGTAGCATTTGGGGCTACATTGTAATGCTACCTGGAAGCAATAACAATATAGAAATTATTTTTATTTTTCTTGTCTGTCATGTAATTGTAAAGAAAAGAAATCAAATATTAGGAAATAAGACCTTTCATGGGCAGCTAACAGTCAAGGATGCAGCCTCAGAATATAGGAGCCAGTATTGGGTTCTCTGGGTTTAAAGTGCGGGGGAGACACAAAAGTAAGAGAATTAGAATGACTGACAGCTGGCTGAAGTTGTTTTAAACTAATGCAAAGAAAAGAGGGACATAGAGGTCAGAAAAGAGTAAGCTGTTCATGGCAATAAGCAGAATAAATGAGGAATTCAAAACAGAGGTAAGAAGATTGAAGAAAGGGGCAGAAAGGGTGAGCCTCTGCTGATTAGTTCCCAGAATAATTAATAGATTGCAGCAAAGCTTCCATCAGCAGCAGGCAGGGTCGTTCGGCATGTTTCTTTCAGAACCTGATGGCATCTCTGCCTTGATGGGCTTTTGAATGGAGGTAAGACTCCTCCTTGCCAGTTCCATCTGCTTGCCAGTGCCCCTTGCTTTTCTTGGTTTGCCCAACAGGCTCTTCAAACGAGTAGTGAGACTTTTCTTGTAATCTAGTACTGCCAGAGTCAGCTTCAGTATATTCTTACTGAACTGCATCTGAAATTGGCACTAGCGATCTGCCACTCTGTACAGCCAGGTCTCAAGGGGAATGCTTGGTTCTGCTCCAGTGAGGACTTACTAGAAGCCGAGTAGCTGGCTAGTCACTCCAAGTGGCTAGCCAATTAACTATAAACTTGCAGTGACCTATGTGGAGAGGTTTCTCCAACTGTGAGCTTTCTAATGAACTCATTATTTCCAATCTCTCAGGAGAGCAATTGTGAAGTGGAAGAGCTACCAATTTAAAGATACAACAGCCACCTCTATTCCCTTGAGTGATTACTGTATGGGGATAGAAATAGTAGGTAAAATGAGCATGACAGTTAAATAGATAACATAAGAAATATGTATTCAGATAATTGATTTGTAATTCCTCATCTACCTTCTGTCTTTGCTCTTGCAGCACAACCAATGTTCTGCAGACTTACTGAGACAATTTACTTTCCTTCCCGTCACTGCATACTGTTATTTTTTGTCCCAAATTCATAGCTTCTGCTTCTCTTGTGCTTTTTTTTAATACTATCTTTCTTTGTCTTCCTTTCACTATACAAACGTACAAATGTCATCCTCTTCCAACAGCATCCTGGCTATAGGATACCAGGCCTTGCCCTCACCTCCACCTGCCCTGATATTTTGAGTAATATCCACACAACTATTTTTTAAACATTCTTCTGAAATTGTAGTTTGTGAGAGAAAGGCAGGAGGATTAAGTTCTCTCCATGTAGCAGCTTTCAAATAATTTGGCACTAAAGCTCCCATGATCAATAGGCATTTTGGTACAGGGTTACACAGATGATAATTTAACGTATTTGAGAAGTACTGGGATGAACAAGCTTGACCAAGATTCTGTAATAAAACTATTCTCAGCACCTCATCAAAAGCAATGACTAATTTAAATGGCCCATAAAACCAATGGTCTTAGAGTGGAAACATAATGCTATTAAGATGATTGCATCTTTAATATTAAAAAAGGTTGCTATGATTTAAGCCAGACTTGAGAAAAAAAGAATCTTAAATGTCCTCTTCAATCCTTATCTTTGAAAAGAATCTGAGAAATGATGACAGTTTGTACAGGTCACTTTTACCATTATTATTGCTCCATATGTTATACACTTGAACTTGCACTTTGAAAATAAGTGCTAGAACTAATCTCTGATTCAAATCTGATTTGAGATTTTAAAAATTCGCATTCCTCAATTGAACAGGTTGCTGACAAATCTAATCTACAATTTGCAGCAGAATGGAATGGTAGACAGAGGAGATTGTACAATCTCTGAAGGAAATGCATGATGTTATTTTTAAAAGCTACCCAATATAACAGCCGAATACATCCTACAAGTAGGAAAACATCATACCAAAGGGAAAATGTTTTTCCTCAACTTCTTTTTTATTTCTTTGCTTTTACCTCTAATGCTTCCCAAACCTGGATAAATTTCCCAAAATTGGGTAGATGTTTTTCTTCTGATAGAGTCATACAAACCCATTACCCATCACAACATTTAAATGGATTTAAAGAATGCCCTGTATACTAAAATATATTCAAAAATCTCCCAAAGTATTCCTCCTATTAAGACAAACATCATTGAAATTACCGATGGCAATTGGCTGAAATGATATAGATATCGTTCAGTGATATCATTTTTATAACAGAGGTAGACCTCGAATTATGACCATTTATTCAGTGTTCATTCGAAGTTACAATGGGTGCTGAAGGAAGGGACCACCTAAACTGAGGACCGCCAACAAATGGTTTTGGGTAATGAAAGAAAAAGAAATAGGAAGCACTTCTCTATCTTATGACTAGCTTTTAATGCTGATCATTAAACCAACCCAATGTGTTGATGTACCAAAATATAATCATCATTCTGTAGCATACTGGATAGCCTCAAGGAACTTTGTGGTCCTGGGTGACAATTTTGAGTTTCTTTCTAGTTCTGCAAGATAAGCATATACTGTACTGTTTAGATTCTAGTTGGAGATGATGAGGGTTGTAGTCACAACATGCCTGGGAAGCATTAGAAGGTGGAAGTCTTCCAATAGTAGTGAAGCATATTCCTGATAAAGGATTGGCTGTTTTTGTGAGGCAGTAGGAATGTAAAAGCATGAGATTGTGGTTATGAGGAAAGGGAGAAAAACATTAAAATATGGCAATAAATGTAACCTCTCGGGGTTGGTGCCAGTGTAATCAACATTTCCTTTATTCAAACTGCATTTTTGTCTTGTTTTTGCATATTTTACTTACACCTAATTTTTCTTCCAAGACATTTTGAACAGTCTGTATAGTTCCCATCTACTCACCTCCATTTTATCTGATAACAAATCTGTAAGGAAGAATTAAGTATTACAAT